GTGATCCACCTGCCTCTGCCTCCCAAAGTGCTGGGATTACAGGCGTGAGCCACTGCACTAGGCCAGTAAATCTCACTTTCCAGGGCAACTGGCACCAGCTGTGAGTAGGTCTCTTATACACCCAGCCTCAGTTTCCTCATCCATAAAATGGGACCCATTTTGGGTGGATGATTTCCATCTCAGTGACTGCCCTGGGCCCTGGGCGGAGTGGGGAGCACGTACCTCTATGAGAGGCCAAAGAGGATGGAACACACATGCTGAGAAATCCATTGAGCCACACCCAATCTCCAGGCGCTCCTGGGGCTCCCAGGTGGCCACCCAGAAATAGCTTTGGAAACTTGGCTGCAGATGGGATGCCCTCTGCTGGACATTGGAGAAAATGTCCCCCTAGGCTGCCCTGCCTGGTCCTCAGTTCACCCACTGATTCTCCCCGTGCACAGGCTGACACAGTACATACACTAGGACTGGGGCCACAAAAGGGCAAAGAAAAATCCTGGGGCAGGTAAGAGAGGCTACCGGGTGTGGAGGAAGCACTTTGGGAGGCCGAGATGGGAGGATCATTTGCGGTCAGGAGTTCGAGCAGCCTGGTCAACGTGGTGAAACCTTGTCTTATACAACAATTAGCGGGGTATAGTGGCACACACCTGTAGTCCCAGCTGCTCAGGAGGCTAAGGTGGGAGAATTGCTTGAACCTTGGAGGTAGAGGTTGCAAGGAACCGAAATCGCGCCACTGCACTCCAGCCTGGGCGAGAGAGCGAGACTCCATCTCAAAAGTAATAATAATAACAAATCAAAGAAAAAACATTCAAAGTAGGGTCGGAACAGGAATTTTCGGTCATTCACGAGTAACTCCATATTAAGTGCATACTGTATGCCAGGCACAGTCCTAGGCAATGGGGTCCGGGAGGCCTCGCTCTCACTGAAGCGAATCTGGGTAGGGGCTGGAGCTGGGAGTCACGGAGCGGTCAGGAGCCAGAGCGTCACGCTTGGGGAGAGGGAAGAAAACGGGCTGGAAGTTCCCTTTAAAAGGCGGGGTCTGCGGGCGGAACTGCGGAGCGACGCTGAGGGGTGCACCCGGGAGGATGAGTACGCTGCACCCGGAAGTGTCTCCGGTGAGAGGAAGGTGGTGGCCTCACCGCTATGGGCCGCAACAAGAAGAAGCGAGATGGTGACGACCGGCGGCCCAGGCTAGTTCTCAGCTTCGACGAGGAAAAGAGGCGGTGAGTGGCAAAGCCGGACCGGACTCCCCTCGAGCCTCGGCCAAGGTTAGGTCCGGGCCGGGCACGCTCCCGCCGATGGCTCTTCCGGCCCCGCCCCCTGGGAAGAACCCCTCTGCACCTCCCAGTTTGTACCTGGTCCCGCTTGTCCCTTCTTGGCCACCCCACCTCGCCTAGGGTCCCTGCGCCGCCAGACAGCCGGAAGCTCGGGCATCAGAGCAGTGGCTTCGACCACCCTAGCCCAGCCCAGTCCATCGGCCCGGCACACAGCAGGCGCTCAGCCGTGGTTGATGATGAGCCAACGAAATGAGAGTGGCTTAAGTGCATTCACTCGCTCTGCAGACTTTTATTGGGCTCCTTTGGTGTGCCAGGTCCTGTATCAGGAAGCTGAACCTCTGAGCCTGTGTCCGGCCAGACAGATAAATGGCACATAGCAGCGGGTCAGCGAAAAGCCCAGTGCTGGACTGTGGGGTAAAATGGGAACAGAGCAGCTGGCACTGCCAAGATGAGAAGGGGCTGAGATCAGACCGAGGAATGGAGGGAGGGAAATGCTGGGCATCATCAGGAAACTCCTAGCGTGCATCAGCAGGCCCTACAGGAGAGTTCAGGGTCAGGTGTCCTGGGGACACGGGTGCTGGTCTAGTGCAGGGTTCTGAAGGTCTGGATCAGGGTGCCCCTGAAAGTCCTGTTGTAGAGTAATGAGGTTTGCCAGTATGGAAGGGATAATCCCATGTACTGAGTGTGCCCTCCCACCTGGTCCTGTTCCCTGAACCTGAGAGCCCTTAATATTGAGTGGAAAGAGGCAGTATCTTCCTTGTTTTCCTAAATGTATCCTTTCTCTAACCTTGGGCAAGTAACCTAGACTCTGTGCCTCAACATTCCCATCTGTAAAATGGAGATTGAAACCCACTGCATAGGTTATTGTGAGGGTTTTTTTGTTTGTTTTTGAGACGAGTCTAGCTGTGTCATCTAGGCTGGAGTGCAGAGGCACGATCTCCGCTCACTGCAACCTCCACCTCCCAGGTTTAGGTGATTCTCCCACCTCAGCCTCCCAAGGAGCTGGGACTACAGGCATGCGCCAACATGCCCCGCTAATTTTTTTTTTTTTTTTTTGAGACGGAGTTTCGCTCTTGTTACCCAGGCTGGAGTGCAATGGCGTGATCTCGCCTCACCGCAACCTCCACCTCCTGGGTTCAGGCAATTCTCCTGCCTCAGCCTCCTGAGTAGCTGGGATTACAGGCACGCACCACCATGCCCAGCTATTTTTTTGTATTTTTAGTAGAGACAGGGTTTCACCATGTTGACCAGGATGGTCTCAAACTCCTGGCCTCAAGTGATCCACACGCCTCAACCTTCCAAAGTGCTGGGATTACAGGCGTGAGCCACCATGTCTGGCCATTGTTGTAAGGGTTAAATGAGCTAATACTTGTAAGTTTTTGGAATGGGGCCTAGCACAAGGCAAGTGTGGCATTAGCCATTTTTCTCCTAGAGTGAGATACATTTTCTCCTAGTGGAGATACATTTTCTCTTGTATCTCCTGCGACTCTCCTGTTTCTGCCGGCTTCCTTCCTGTAGGGAGTACCTGACAGGCTTCCACAAGCGGAAGGTCGAGCGGAAGAAGGCAGCCATTGAGGAGATTAAGCAGCGGCTGAAAGAGGAGCAGAGGAAGCTGCGGGAGGAGGTGCACAGGGGGAAGGTGGGAGGGAGGTCTTTGATTCTTAGGGTACTTGCAGCCTTGGATTTTCCTAACAGAAGCAGGTGTAAGCATGGGCCGCCATGTGTGCGGGCAGGACCCGGGAATAGTTTATTCAGGTGGAGACTCCGTGGGCCCGGGTCTGGGAGTAATGGAAGATGGAGTCTCCTCCTGATCTCGAAGTATGAATCATGGTCTCAGTCACCCTGGGGGTGATGAATACCCCAGCCTGAGGTTGGGCTAAGAGGCCATACTCACTGTGTTACCTGCCTGCATGGTTTCAGCGCCACCAGGAATACTTGAAGATGCTGGCAGAGAGAGAAGAGGCGCTGGGTAAGTCGCATGCTTGGTCTGACCTGGAGAACAGCTGATGGGCCTGGTTTATATATTCCCTTGGTGGGTGGAAGGGAAAGAAGCTGACCTCCTTGGCCCTAGGGATTTTGGGGGGTTCTCTGGGGCCAAGGGTGGTCCTAGCACCTCTCAGTACAAGTGGAATAGAGACCAGGAGAGTTAGACGTAAATCCCACGGTTAACCAAGCCTGAGCAGAGAGCCCAGTTTCTGAAGACTGAAAGGACTAGGGCTGGAGAGAGGGACAGCAGCAGCTGTCACAGAGGGTCTGTCAGAAATGGGGACCAGCCAGAGCAGGAAGGAAATGAGATCATTCTCAACATTCATCTGCAGGCCAGGCTCTAGTGCCAGGGACCTTGTGGATGCTCTCCACGTCCACAGAGTAGAGGGGGGCATTGCACTCCAGGGCGGAAGGGAGGCTGGAGGCTGGTCACTGGTTCCCCTGGCTGAGGCCAGGGCTGTGTCCATCCCCACAGAGGAGGCAGATGAGCTAGACCGGCTGGTGACAGCAAAGACGGAGTCAGTGCAGTACGACCACCCCAACCACACAGTCACCGTGACCACCATCAGTGACCTGGACCTCTCCGGGGCTCAGCTGCTCGGGCTGACCCCACCTGAGGTGGGTCGCAGTCTCATCCCTGGGAAGAAGGGGCGTGGGGGCGGACTGGCTTGTCAGGGGGTTGCTCAGTGTTGGTGCATGTTATGGGTATCCCAGGGCTGGTGCCCTTTCCCTTTGAACCCGGGAGTCCCTGCTTCTGGGGCACTGCAGGGACCAGCCCCGCTGCTGAGCGGCTGAGGGGCCTGAGCAGGTTCCTTCACGTTGCCTGCTTCCTTTCTCCGTTAGTGAACTGGGCTTGCGGGGGGGGGGGGGGGGGGGTGGCGCCTGCCTTGTGGGGTTGCTGTGGGGATAAAAGTGGTTAATCCGTGGGAGTCACTTGGCACAGTGCCCAGCCCTGTTGTAAATGCTTCACAAAAAGGAGCTGTTTGTTGCGATTGTTCTCTTTGTGCGATTGGCAGCCCTGGCACCTCTGTGTGCACTAAGTGGGTTTTCAACCTGTGGGTTGTGAATCATGAGTAGATTGCAAGCAGCATAAAAAATAAGAATATCATAATTGAAAATACCAGAAGCATCATGGTAAGTATTGTTTCCGAAGATGGCTATTTCCATTGGAGTTGTATCTGGGTTTGCCTAAGAATTTATGGACATGTATGTACACAGTTACGATGTAAAACACATTTCCTCCAGGGAGTTTCTGTGTCCTTAAGTCCTGGAGCCACTCCCCCGTCACATCCATACTGATCTCAGGGCCGGGCACACTGCCTCATGCCTATTACCCCAGCACTTTGGGAGGCCAAGGTGGGTGGATCAGCTGGAGGTCAGGAGTTCCAGACCAGCCTGGCCAACATGGTGAAACCCTGTCTCCACTAAAAGTACAAAAATTAGCTGGGTGCGGTGGCAGGTGCCTGTAATCCCAACTACATTCTAGCCTGGGTGACAGAGCAAGACCCTGTCTCCAAAAAAAAAAAAAAAAAAAAAGGCCGGGCATGGTGGCTCAAGCTTGTAATCCCAGCACTTTGGGAGGCTGAGGCGGGTGGATCACGAGGTCAAAAGATCGAGACCATCCTGGTCAACATGGTGAAACCCCGTCTCTACTAAAAATACAAAAAATTAGCTAGGCATGGTGGTGCGTGCCTGTAATCCCAGCTACTCAGGAGGCTGAGGCAGGAGAATTGCCTGAACCCAGGAGGCGGAGGTTGCGGTGAGCCGAGATCGCGCCATTGCACTCCAGCCTGGGTAACATGAGTGAAACTCCATCTCAAAAAAAAAAAAAAAAAAGGAAAACCATACCGATATCACACTCGTCTTTCATTTTATGCTCATTCTTTTGCAAGATCCAATACAAAGACAAGTCTTGTCGTCATTAGCTAGGATTTTCATTCCTGAATGTTTAAGTATGTACTGGAAGCTTCTAGAGGCAGGAGAGGGTTTTGAAGCATGGCCGTCCCCTGTGTAATCCTTGCTTTAGGACAGACAGAGTGCTTCCGCCCGAGGCCTTCTCTAGCCCCATCCCAGGCCTGTGATGCAGCAGCAAGCACCGCCGCTCAGGTGCCCAGCCCAGGCCTCCCCAGCTACTGCCCCATCTAAGTCAATGTTTTATGCTTCTTTAGGGAGGGGCTGGAGACAGGTCGGAGGAGGAGGCATCATCCATGCCCACCAAAGCCTTGCCCAGGAAGTCCAGAGACCCCCTGCTCTCTCAGCGGTGAGTGTCGGCCTGCCGCCTCCCTGGTCCCACTCCTCCTGGCTGGCAGTAGCGGCCTGGCCCTTAGGGGTGGTGTGCAGCAGGTGGAGGGCCCGGAGCAGCCCTCTGCTTTGCCTGGCCAGTGATCCTCAGCCTCTCTTCATTTCCCTGTTCCACCCACCCCCTGAGAATGTCTGACCTCCGGTGCCCTTGGTGCCTGGGTGAAGGGCCCGTCTCTCTAAGCTGAGTTGCTGGCGGACACTCTGGAGGTAGAGCAGGCCAACTCTGGCATGAATTTAGTGGTCCCAGCATTTGCGACCTGTCCTGACACCCCCTCCATGAGCCGGGTGGTCAGTTACCCCCTAACGCAGTCTCCACCTGCCACCCTGTTCCCAAGGTAAACTGAGGCTTTCTACCCTCCACCAGGATCTCCTCCCTCACAGCAGCACTGCATGCACACAGCCGCAAAAAGGTCAAGAGGAAACATCCCCGCAGGGCCCAGGACTCCAAGAAGCCCCCAAGGGCCGCTCGCACCAGCAAGGCCCAGCGTCGCCGTCTGACAGGCAAAGCACAGCACAGCGGGGAGTGAGGCTGAGAACCAAGCTGTGCCCCAGCCTAGGCTGCAGGGACCTGGCCTTTGTCATCTTGCTGTCCCTGTCACCCAGCCTGCACCAGCGTGATGACTGCACAGCTCAGAGTTGGGAAGCCAGGACCTCTCTGGCCTGGGGCCGGCTGCCTTTGCCTGGGGTTTGAATTCCAGGAGTGGGCAGCTGAGCGCAGCCTGCCCCGGGAAGAGCCTTCAGAGCCACGTTGGGGCATCTTCCCAAATGTGCACGCCACCTGGCACTCATCAAATTTGGGAAACTCATCAGAGATTTGTGCACTTGTGATTTGTTTGCCCCTGATACCACATGCAAGGGCAGGTTTCTGGGGCGGTGGACATGGTCAGGGGCCATGGCTCTGTTCCCAGCAGTTTTCCCTGTGGCTGCAATAAAGTCCAGTTCTGCTTCTATTAAGGTGCTGGGTCCCCTAACCAGTACCAGTGTGTACGGACCAGTGTGTCCATTGCTAAAATCCAGAGCCCACCTGCTGCTCTGAAAGCAGGTTCCTGAGGCCAGTGGGGGAGCAGTGCCCCCTGTGCCTTTCACTAAGGAGCCTCTGGGCCTGTCTTTTGTCCTGGGCCCAGCAGTCTCAGCTGACACTAAAGCAGTGGAAGCAGTTGAATCCCAGGTCATTCCCCATCACCACACTGGGGCAGCATCCCCCGGCTTCCAGCAGCTCCTAGGCGGGGCCCAACACGGAAGGATTGATTAATTCTTTTTTTTTTTTTTTAAAGACAGAGTCTCACTCTGTCACCAGGCTGGAGTCCAGTGATGCAATCTTGGCTCACTGCAACCTCCACCTCCCAGGTGGACCTCATGATCCACCTGCCTTGGCCTCCCAAAGTGCTGGGATTATAGGCATGAGCCACAGCACCTAGCCCTGTGTTTTCTTTTTGAGAGGGAGTTTCACTCGTTGTTCAGGCTGGAGTGCAATGGTGAGATCTCAGCTCACTGCAACCTCCGACACCCGGGTTCATGCAATTTTCCTGCCTCAGCCTCTGGAGTAGCTGGGATTACAGGCACCCAACACCACACCTAGCAAATTTGTGTATTTTAAGTAGAGATGGGGTTTCGCCATGTTGGCCAGGCTGGTCTCGAACTACTGACCTCAGGTGATCCACCCACCTCAGCCCCCCAAAGTGCTGGAATTTCAGGCATGAGCCGCTGCACCCAGCCCAGGAAACAACTTTTATCCACCCCTTCTGGTGTGCCAGACAGTTACATTATTAACTCACAGCAGCATTGCAAAGTGGCTTTTAGCTCCATTTAACAGATGAGAAAACTGAGTCTCAGGTGCCGTAACATTAAAAGTTACCCTGTCGGGCCGGGCGCGGTGGCTCAAGCCTGTAATCCCAGCACTTTGGGAGGCCGAGGCGGGTGGATCACGAGGTCAAGAGATCGAGACCATCCTGGTCAACATGGTGAAACCCCGTCTCTACTAAAAATACAAAATATCAGCTGGGCATGGTGGCGCGTGCCTGTAATCCCAGCTACTCAGGAGGCTGAGGCAGGAGAATTGCCTGAACCCAGGAGGCAGAGGGTGCGGTGAGCCGAGATCGCGCCATTGCACTCCAGCCTGGGTAATGAGAGCGAAACTACGTCTCAAAAAAAAAAGTTACCCTGTCATGGCTAACAAGACATGGTCCTCACATCTCATGGAGGAGACAGACACAAAAAGGTGTCCCCGAAGGTCGCGTTCAATAAAGTGTTAGCAGACATCCGTATAAGTTCAGGGGAGAGGGCGTTCAAAAAGGCTTCCAAGAGGAAGTGACTCTGACTTGAGTCTGGAAAGATGACTTAGCTTGCCCAGGCACACAGGGGAGGAAAGGGTGTGGAGAAAGGGCCCAGTGCCCTTGGTGAGCAAGGGGAAGGCAGAGGTGGGGGTCAGGGTGAGAGGAGAGGAGAAAGCTGTGCAAGTCAGCAGGGCCTGGCCTGCTGGGCCTGATACTGAGATGGGGATCTGGGCTCTGATCCTGTGGGCAGAGAGAGCCCCTGAGGTAGGGGTGAGTTTAACCAGTGGAGGGTCAGGATCAGCCTTTTTTTTTTTTTTTTTTTTTTAAAGACACAGTCTCACTCTGTCGCCCAGGCTGGAGTGCAGTGACATGGTCTCGGCTCACTGCACCCTCCTGCTTCAGCCTCCTGAGTAGCTGGGATGACAGACGTGCTCCACCACATCCATGTATTTTTATTTTTTGTTTTTTTTGAGACGGAGTTTCGCTCTTGTTACCCAGGCTGGAGTGCAATGGCGCGATCTCGGCTCACCGCAACCTCCGCCTCCTGGGTTCAGGCAATTCTCCTGCCTCAGCCTCCTGAGTAGCTGGGATTACAGGCACGCGCCACCATGCCCAGCTGATATTTTGTATTTTTAGTAGAGACGGGGTTTCACCATGTTGACCAGGATG